GCGCTGCGCTGTGTCAACTCAACCCGCCAACATAGGGGGCAGCACTCAGTAACTCAGCAGAAGAGACATGCGTGCCATGTGCTCGGGCCTCTGGACCATCCACCAGCAACGTGACCAAGACCTCTTCTTATCAACGGCTGCTTCTGTTTCCCCGTGATTAACCCATAAGAACCCAGACCCATTTTTCCTTAAAGGAAAATTATGTGTGATATACCACAGACCAAATGGACCACATAGAACACATTTCTGGTGTTTTTTTCAGGATAACACTTTTTCATACCAGAGATCTGGTTTGTTACATATATGTCACACATTGGGCGTTAGTGGTAAACTTATTCCTTATTTCAAAATAAGTAAACCTGACAGTTATTACTGCTTGGTAACAGAAAATTACCTTTTTATTTACATTTTCACAACATATATCAAAGCTGTGACTTTAATAGCAAGGTTTAACATAAAATTCGTCTTCAGTTTTGCTTTGCTTCACAAAATATGCCAAATGTGCAAATATGCATCAAAATAAATAACACTGCCTATTTGGGGGCATTCGCAACAAGCTACCATAGGTACAGAGAACTGAACAACAGATCTAAAAACAGAAACTGTGCAAAAAAAAAAAAAAAAAGCTCAAGAGAAATAGAACCCTTGTATCATCAGTACCATGTGTGAAACATTTTCTCAGTTCTTTTGTCTGTTAAGTATCTCTAGCCTTTTAGTCTAAGCCAGATGCTAAGACCTGTTTTTTTTCCTCAGTGAAGCAAAGATGGACATCACCTTTCTCACTGAGAGTGGTGGTTGCATTGATTTTGCAGAGTTTGCAGTGGCCATGCCTGTCACATTTCACAGGCCAGTGTGCAACTTGGTCAGTACGAACATTATCTGGAAGTCCACCACAACCCTCTTGGGCAGTGGTGGTGTGAGATGTGATGGTTGTGCCAGAAACAAGTAGATGTACCACCTTTGTGAACTCATGTGGTACTTGCACCTTGCAATGTATGCATAAAGGATGTCTACTCCTCACATGAGCGTGTGTTAGTCCTTCACAATGTGTGGCCTCCTAACACACTGTGAAGGAGTAAGACACCAATGTGTGGTGTTATGAACTTTCTGAAGTACTCCAGAGGACTAAGAATATTGTCTGGATGTGTGACATGTGGTCCTTTGTGCATTCAGGGGTTTCAAAAAGGCTTCTTCCTCTGAGAATTATTTTTTTTCCCTTGGACAGTTTCTTGTTTTTTTTTCCTAGGATGGATGTATTTTGGTGCCCTGAATTCCACGTTTGGTTGTGGTACATCATCTGATGTACTTGATTCACTACTGTCTGAATCATCACACTCACTTGACTCGTCACCCTCCCTGTCTTGGCTATTGGGCTTATAAAGTGTTATCAGGGTTTTCATCTGAGCTATCGTCACATCGCTCAAACTCACTATCATCTCCCACGATGGCCTCTAGTGCATCCTGAAGAATGTTGCACTTGTTCTTTTTGCATACTACAAATTAAATAGAAATAAAAGAATATTTATTATTCATGGGATGGTAAAAATTTGTGAGCACTATGTACAGATTTGCAAAAAAAGTGTTTTGTAATCCAAACCAAATACTTATTATATTTATATTTACTTATATTATATTATTATAGTATAGTATAGATAATTTTGTGCTTCTGTTTGTTCAGTACACTTTTAATTGATCAGCAGTACATATTTCACTTAATTTTATATACTGATACAGCTAAATTAATTGGGTGGATTATTACCGTTTTTGTTATTGTGACAAATAGGTCACATCAATTTTTCATTCTTATTTTAAGGCTAAAAGCCCGATGTGACATATATGTTACAGCAATATTTTCCCTACCTGGTTTGATATTACTTTCTTCAATAAATATGGTCAGACCAGGTTGAACGCAATATAGACACATGTTATCAAAAGCATGGAACTGTTGACTGTGTTTGAAATTAAGACAGCTTTTTGAAATGAGCTGCTTCCTTGAAATTTGCATCCAGACTCATTTTGGAGAGCCCAAGTGTCACATGACTGTCACATGGCCCGTTGGCGCGATTAAAGGTAATTTTTAATATACTTTTAGACTTGTCTTAATAAGTGTGACCTATTTGTACGCACTGAGGCACGGAAAGTAATCTACTTAGAGATGATAAAAAAAAAATAAAAAAAATATATATTATATATATATATATATATATATATATTTCTTTTTTTAATTTTTATTAATTATTCGTATGGTAATTATTATTTCGGGGTCAAAGCCATAAAATCGCCGTTTATTTTTGATACCATATGCGATTATACCCTTATGTTTGCTTATGAGGAGGGAAAAGTTTGATTTTATTTAGTTTATCCCAACCTCCATTTTGTGCTAACGTTAATACAACACTTGACAGGGTGAGGTAAGTAATGAAATGGTTTTGCTGTGCGCACTAAGTGAAGTTAAAGGCATAAGTCCTGGGAGAACATGTGAGACGAGCGGGCAGCGGCTAATAGAACAGCGAGCGGCGACTTGCTAGTGCTCCGAGCCGCCGGAGCTGCAGCGGTGTCCTCCCTATGCCTTGGCCGCCGCTGGGACTCTTTGTGTGGGGCGTCGCGGTGAAGAGTCTTCCGGCGCTCTCCGGTGGGTTTTCCGTGCTGCTGTTGAGCACTTTAGTTTGGAGAAATGGCGCGGTTGTTGATTAACTATGCATCCATAAAGAGTTACACGCCGCTATTTAGACATCGACGTCTAATTGTCAGAGTAGCGGGTTATTCCGGAGACGAACAATCATTTTGCTAGGAGTCACGTGTGGTGCCCCTGCAAGCACTAGGTGCCCTACGCGCTGTGCCCACTGCACAGCGTTTACGCACGTAACCTCGCGGCACGGGCATTAGATTTGCGTGCGCAGGACGCGCTGCTCCATACGTGCGCCTGTCGCGTTACGTGGAGCCGCCCTCATTTACTTTTCATGGGTGCGCATAGATGTCATTGAGAAACACAGAGCCCTTGCTGCGAGGTTGCGCGCGTAAACGCTAACGCGTGCAGTGGAGCCTAGGCTTAATGGGGAACTACGGAACTGCCTTCTTTGTGTGCGCTTTTTGTTGCACATTTAAAATCAGTAGTAGCGGAAAACTGGCATGTCGTAATATCGGGATAGGCTGCTGACCCCTTCATAAAGTTCAAGTGCAGCTGCTTTTACAGTAATGTTAATTTTGCTTGATAGCTTTAGTAGCATGACACTGGGAATAAAATAAAAAAAAAGACCATTAACAGACCGATCAGTTAATGTCTTTGTATCTCTCTGTTCTAGTTTGAAGGAGTTCAGATGGAGTTAAAAGATTATTGGTGATAGTTACAAGGTAATCAAATGAATGTTAATTCTTCTATGAATGTTTTTCAAATTTGATATTCTGAAAGTGCTTAATTGTTCGGCTTCAGATCAGTTAATGTGTTTGCATCACTGTGTTCTAGTTTAAAGGAGTTCAGACGGAGTTAAACATTACTGGAGATAAAGTTACCAGGTAATCAAATGAATGTTACTTCTTCTGTCAACCTCCCCACCCTCTCACACCATCATTTTTTAAGCCAAACACTCAAGCATCCAGGGTTGACTCTGTTCTGGTTTCAGCTCTACCAGAGGCTGCTCAGGTACACATTAGAGAGCAAACAACTACTGACACAATCTACAAGACATCAAAAGTAACCATTGATGGCACAGACTATGGCTGTGGAATGTTTCTGTCTGTAGGAGTCAGCGGTGGACTATCTAAATTCAGCAAAATAGAACAGATCTTCCTTGTCAATCACAATGTATCTTTTCTGTGTTGTGATTATGACTCTTGGTATGTAGAACATCTACGGTCCTACGAGCTGTCGACTGCAAATACAAGCCTGTCAATCCACCTTCAGTCTGAGTTGAATGATACAGCCCCCCTCTCAGCATACAAGGTAGACGGATCGCTGCTGCTGACCCCCAAGAGGTTCATTCAAGTGAGAGGGAACTGAGTTCAGGTAAAAGAGATTACTTTTATTTACCAGTTATAGTCTGTCTTCACTCTGTGGAATTACGCAAGTTGTACACTAGATATGATACACTTTTAACAACCTGATTTTGTCTTTTCATTTAGCACAATGGCAGCTGCATCTCCACAACCAATGATCCTTCGTGTTGTTGATCCAGACCAGGCTAGAAAACTAAAACTCAGCTCAAGACCAGCCTCTGTTGATGCACTGATCAAGATTATAAAAGAACAATTGGAAATTGACCTCCACTTTGATTTGCTGTATGAAGATCCAGACTTTGACGGGAAGCTTACTTCCCTTACAGACATTCAGGATTTGCCACAAAAAGCTATTGTCCACATCGCAGTTTCAGAGGACTCCAGCTCTATTGCATCTACTATTCTGCTTTCAGATGTGTCATCTCCAGAGCGTCTCTGCAGATGGCCTCCTGGTCCTTTTCCAGTTCCCACATTTGCATTTGATGTTGAGCTGAAACTTCGAGATGGAAATGCAGAATATGAGAAGAGCAACACACACCTTAAGTTGACAAGAGACCTTAAGCACGACATTTTGGAAAACCTTGCATCGACTATATATGGTTTTAAGGCTTACCCAAGTGATAAAGAGATTGCAATGGCTGCTGAGGCTCTTGTAGCCAAACATCCCTGTTTGAAGGAAGCTGGATCTGAAACTGGCTGGAATGGGTGGAAAAATAGCATCAAGTTTAAGATGGGCAATTTCCGAAGCAAGATGAGACGGGCTGGTTGTCAGGAGGTTAGCGTTAATGCCGGAAAAAAAGAAGCAGAAGTAATCCTGAAAATGAACCTTCACATTCCAACATTAAAAGACCCAAGCGAGCTGAGATCAACTTCCTCATTCTCGTCATTGAAGGTGATGTTGTGGTCAGCCTCCCCAGACTTGGTGAAGCCTTCCTGGTAGTCTTTGGACTGGCCTATGCACTACACCTCAGTTATCCCAAAGCTCTGACCAGCACTTTTGAATTCACTCAGAAAATTTTACTTGGTCTAGAAGGTAGTAAACTGTCACCCAGGTTGCAAACCATTAAGAATGACTTGATGATGTAAGGAAACCATGACCATTAACTAAACCTATGCTTTTCTTTATCGTTTATGATCTTATCAAAATAAAATGTTAAATTTTGTGCCTTATTTATCAACATTATTATTAGTTTGTACGACCATGAACGAACACAAAAAAAATCCTCATTTTTTTCATTCTCATTGTGGTTTATTTTGTGCAATCAAACGATAAACTTTTGATGCCTTTGTTAACATTTAGTTTGTATGACCATAAGCGGGAAAAAAAATCTAAATTTTTTTATTCTCAGTTTAGTTTGTACGATCAAACTAATATTGATAAAGAAGTAAGGAAGTAAAAACCAAAAAAATGATGTAGGTTAAAGGGGTACAACATGTTAACGACAAGTTAAAAGTTCTTTTGTCTAGATATTGCTTTAGAGTTACTGCAGCCAATGTTCAGTCAATAAGACCAAACTTAACTGTTTTGTAAGAAAAAAATTACCCAGTAGTCACTGTGAATTTGTTGTGCATAGTCACTATGCATTTGTTCTTATACTCTTGTTTTATAGTCTATATGCCATTCCATTGTAACTTCTGCACACTGCGTGCCATTTTATTTTTTATTTAATTTCAGTGTGCAAGGGCAAAAACACAAATAAAGATTTGAGTTTGGGTAACATAAAATGATGTGGTTGTGTACTTTTTTTTTTAAGTTCTGTGAGCGTTTTTCTGTGTGGTTTGAAAACTCCCTATTTTAAATCATAATAAATTAAAATAATTGAGTTGCTTAACAGAAAACTATGAGTTTATATTAACTGCAAATATTTGAGTTGAGCTAAATGAGCACTTTTAATTCAGGTCTTATCAAAAGGTACAAGTAGCAAGCAATCAAACCTTTTAAGTACTGGAAATTGTGACTTTTAAGTTTATCAACTCAAAAAAATTGAGGCAATTTATTGCCTCAAT